ATCGAACCCGGGCGGTCAAGCGCGGTAGCCCGTCGCTATACCGACTGAGCTATCCCAACTACTGCAAAAATAACTGTTCACAACTGGAAGGGTAACCCCACACTGAAGTAGGCCCTATATACCCTACACGCTCCTTCATGCCCTTATTGACGCTGCTGTAGACATAGTCCATCTCCTGGGATGTGACGCCGTGTAGTCAAGCAAAAAAAATCGCCAACGTTTCGGAGAAAATTATACACGCTACAAACAATCTTGATTACATTTGGCTTTCTCTTCGACCCTGAGGAATAAGGCAGTACGTTCCCCCCGAAACGTCCGCAATCTTCTGCTCGACTACTGGGCGTTACAAATCAGAAGACAGTGGCCACAGTGATAATATCAAATCCAGCACTTCTATACATTCATCGACATGAAAGTTCCTTCTACATACATATGTCCGTCGCTAATGTAACAGAATGTTATGGTCACTTTAATTATTTATTCACGGCACGTTTCAGCCATACATGGCCATCATCGGGTGTCTGTCGCTATGCCGAACCGTTGTACTCTACTGCTTGTCACAATTGCAGGTTGCTAGTTATCAGTACTCCTTAATTAAAATTGCAAATAATTTTAAAATAGGTCAACCCTATTAAATTTAATAAAAATAGGCAATTTCAGCCTTCTTATGGGGCCCATTAGCGCAATTTTCGGCGGCGTGTGTGTGTTCGAACTTCATGCAATTCGGGAAGTTTCAATAACTTACCAATCACGTCTCTTTCAAATTTTTCTTCCGTATTGTGGACATTTTATTTTCTTCCGCACTCTTAACTACACTACTTATCCGCTGGAAGTCAATAGTTTGTTCCGTCAGCTCGAAGCTCACCAAATTCTGAGGAAAATAAGCTGGAGAGATATTTGCAATACCGAAAGAATAAACTGCAAAATGCACTGACAACAACTTCCTCAGCTGTTTTCCACTTGTTACACGCGGAAAGACCGATAACTCGTAAAGCTGATGAGTATACTTTTTGTAGTTTCTCGCTCAGCATATTTCGGCTTCCAAGTTAGACCCCAATCAACACGGCAATGTAAGTCGAGACGCAAATTCTTAGAAGATATTAACAAGAATATGAATACCAGCCTCAGTTCAGCACCAATTCCATATGGGTCAGACAAACTAATTTCGGGTTGGCGCTGCGTTAAGAAATGTGTCAAATGAAGGCACAGTGGGAAGCTCACGTCGATCCGTTGTGTAGATTAATCCAGTTTACGTATTTAATTACGAAACTAAATTCAGATAATTCCTATGATGTCACTGCTTTTCAATTCAATGCTGAATTGCCATTAAATAAGCTTTGCAATGCAGTGCTGTGTTGCCATCAGCTTTACAATGCAGTGCTGTGTTGCCATTAGCTTCGCAATGTGATGTGTTCACCTTATCTTCGCACTGCTTCTGCACTGACATAGGTTCGCTTTGCAATGCAGTGCCATACTGACATTTGATTAGCTTTTCAATATGGCGTATGTACAGTCATTAACTTTGCAATGTAGTGTCTATATGCGATTCCCTTTGCAACGGTAGATTTGTGTCTCCAATATGGAGGCACAATCACCACCGACTCAGGCCTAAGCAAAAGCATAAGAACACGCCTGGAAAATACACAAACGCTTCTCTTTATCTTAAAGAGTTACAGACATTTGTAGGGGAGTGTCTCTCTCTCTCTCTCTTTTTTTTTTGGGGGGGGGGCACATTCTGCATTCCTCTGAACCGAGCTATGCCAACTCTCGTTTCCTCTCGATCCAATTACCGCATAACCCGAGTACTTGGGCTTCTGTGGTCATACAGTTGTTTAACGCTTTATGAACAGCAGAGGACACTAACAACGGTAACATGTAAAATAAATTATCATGAATGCTGGAAAGAATCGGCCCTGACCTATTTTACGGCTCGGTATTCGTCTGCAACTGTTCAGCAAACAGCAGCGAAACATGTGGCCTCAAGCAGTGACAGACTGTTGCGTAAGGCAAGTTCTGCTCGTCCGCCTGACCTGTGCAGTCTCAAGCTCTCCTAAATGTTAAATACGTAGTTGCAGCGTAACACACTAACGTGGCGAGATATCATTCTTAAACTCGACACTAGATGGTGAGTGGTCAGCTTCACGTCCCGGCCGCTTTACCCCCATATAAAGAGCCCTTCGTACCACTGTACAGAAAGCGTGATGGGTCCAGAGCCGACCTGGAGAAGCAAAAAAAATCCCTTGAATCCGGTTCTTCTGCCCCCAAGCTCAAGGCCACATTCACTAGAGCGACTATGGGATTAGTATTTTCAGAAATTACGAAATGGAACAAGGCCACAGGTCCCAGTTCGAAGGGCTGAAGAAGGAAAAAAATCCTTCAATTAACAGCGGTCATGCTTGAAGTCTTGTCGTTTCGCACTAACCCGAGCCCCGTTACGACAAAGCTGCTGTGAAATAACGCCGTTCGGAAAACATGCGGCGAAAATTCGTTACAATGTGAGCCTTGACCATCCAGACGTCTAGGTCGGTAGTAGATTTGCACATGACAATGTGCTCTCTGACCCCAATTCTGGAGTCGACTCGCCAACAACGGTACCCTAAAAAGCAGATTTACAAAACAAGTCGAATAACGACGCAAGAAGAAACCAAATGAACCAGCCGAAATTCAGCACCGCGCCGTCTAGCGTTTCTGACACTGTTCATACAAGTATCGATCATTTCTGCTCTAGACAAACACAGAATCTAAAAGTACGGAGTGATTTAAGGCATGTAAACTGTAGGTTACCACAAAAAGACAGAAGCGAAGATGAAATGTTCTTTACCTAAATTAAACTGCTGTCCCTGGGGTCGACTCAAGTCTCTAACAGAAATGAGTACCAGGAAGCTGTCTGGGTGTAAAGGCCGGCCGGCCTGACCGTAAAGCTGACAACCTCACTGTAATCTGCGAGCAGATTGCCAAAAAATGTGGGAGCCTCGAAGTCTCACAACCCTATGGGCCTCCACGGCCTGTTACTGGGAGAGCTTCACCTTTTAAGAGAAAAGTGTAACATGCAATCCATAATAACACTGTTTTGTGGTCATTAGAATTACCCTCACTGACTAATCCCTCACTAATCCACCAACCCGACATCATATAGTTTATTATATCGTAACATTTCAGTGTTATAAATAAGATACATCACTTTGGAGAGCTTCTTCTTGCTCTGGCGCGTGCGCACATTGTCAAATGATAACAATGCTACCTTAGTATTATGTAACAGCCCGGCTGACACAGCAGCATGCAACGAGACTAATTCTGTAGCTGCCGTGGACATATTAATGAGAAGAATGGGTTTCTGCTCAAAATTCAAGCGTGGAAATGTTATCCGCCCTTGAAGTCTGAAAGAAGACTGTATCTTCCCCATTTTACAACCAACCAAGTGCCAGACTGGAGATGAAGCCCCCGACTTAAAGACGGATGTGATAATGTGCTGCCTAACCAGGGTTAATTCACATCTCAGAGGACAGTGACAGAAGACAATGGTGCAATGTAGAAATGGTGATTAACACGGGAAAACTGAAGAAACTGGCAGATACCTGACCCAGTACTACACTCGATAATCACACCGAGAATTTATCTCAGGTATATCTGTATAATATTTACACAACATTTTTCCTAAAGCAGAGAAGGCACTGTGTCCATTACAAAGGCCAGCCGGCTAATGGTGTTTAGGGATATAATCGCCGATTATTCTGGGAACCTTACGAATCACATAACAAATACTACTCAAGGAGAATGCAGATATTTGAGAGAATTATTTTGAAAGCTGTCCCGGCCGTGCAGTCAGTCTGCCTGCCTGCCTGCCTGCCTGAATGCAGAAATCTTCGCTAGCTCCTCAACAGTTGGACGGATGCTATGCTCGAGACCCTTCACATGAGCCCCAAACAAAAAATGGCAATTTTCTCGAAAATGGCTCAAAAGGCTTTTATTAATCTTTACGTGTCGCATTTTGTTGTGTGTCATTCAAAACAGTATATTTATATCCGTCAACACAACAATTCAGGAGAATGTAACAGTACAGGTTATTTATACTCAAGTTGGTCACAACATGTTTCGACCCTTAATGAGTCATGATCGGGTGTATCTCTGTGCACTTAGATGCTGAATTTTTGTTCAAATATGGATCCATATTTTCTTTATATTTGACTATAAGATTGATCACGTAATCTTACAGTCAAATTAAATTGAATTTAATTAATTTGTTTTAACTTTTTTTTTGTTTCTTTTATTGCTAGTGGGGTGGGACTAAGTCCCTTGTACTGCGGCCACTTCTGGCCTATTGTACCAGCCCCGAATGATAGGTGAGGGTGATTGTGGAGCAATTGGTGGAATGAAGATTGGCAGGGGAAACCGAAGAACTCGGAGAAAATCTACCCCAGCACCACTTTATCCACCACAAATCCCACTTAACCAGACCCGGGATCGAACCCGGGCCGCCGCGGTGGGAAGCCAGAGACTAACCGCTTGATCTATGGCGCGGCCTAATTTGTAATCTAACTTTAATTTAATACCAATACGGCTTAAAGCCAAAGAATAAACAAACCAGAGTCTCACTACTAACCAATAATCACACAAAGTTAGAATTAAAAACAATTTAATTTAATTTTATAGAATAATGAGCAGTAATGGAAATCTCACATAGTTTGACGAGTCACGAGTAATAACCTAACCACGGCACAACGTAATCTGAAACTCGTTACTGATCTTCGGAATTGATCGTTCCGACGTTTCTCGTCCGAAACGTCTGTTGTATTCCTGTGAAACTGGTATCTTTTACCGTTTCTTTAATATTAGCATTTCACCAACGAAACAACAATTAAGTTACATCGATAAGTCTTTCAAAATCAAAAACGGAACATGTCAATAAAATTTAACAAACCCAGAAACAAACAAAAATATATTAGTATATCTCGCATAAGGTATTTCCTAAATCAAATTCATCGAATTTCGAATATACTCACCTTTAAATCCTTCCGATGAACGTTGAAGTATGAAATAGCGAGATACCCGAAAATAAAATGTTTTCTACTTCTTACTGAGAAACTGTAACAAAATTGAACAGCTCCCTCATACACTGTGCATATTCCAGCCCGCCAATTAAACCAACATCACATGCTCGACCGTATTGAAACACATCTCACAAGACATTTCAGTGTTACTCTTTACAAAAAGGCCTTATTATAAGCAAAAGCGTACACCAGATTTAATCTCACTTCTTTTAACTTTCACGCATATAGCAAACCAGGCCTATACGTCACATGAAAATTCCAGCCTAACACCAACATCACACTACTCACACTGCTCCGCGCCAACACCGTCCATCACAGACTGAAACTAATGCGTCCCTCCGCTCCCTACTTCACGGTCCTTTCCGGTGCGCGCGCTGCCACATTCAAATCGTGAGAAGAGCGCTGAACATGTTACCAAACTAATTGCTATTATTGGTTGTGATGCAATTGTTGAAAGCAAAACCGGTATTTTATATGCAGCAAGAGGTAATCTGACCTCATGCGGGAGAAGGTGTAAACATAGTGCCCCTCCGATTTCAAGGAATTACACAAGATATACTGACAGATGACAGCGTATCTCTTACCAATATGGACCAGTCTGTTCTGCAGATTCTCGGGTCTGAAAGACAAGGTTCTTTAAAAGCACCTTCTGTAACTCGGTAGATACCGAGAAATTACTTCTGCATGTCACATAAATTCACTTGCATTATGCACGCGGCGTTTCCCTGGAAGGACTGAGGAAAATCACAAGCCTTAGTCGGGAATTCCAGAATTCTGTTCAAGATTAGAACCGAGTTCCTCACGCGTGCGAATTACCGATACATCAAGTCGCTTGGTACCTGGGTAATAGGTTCGAATCCCATTCTGGCCATTAATGTATCTTTTTCTCCTTCTACGTGGTTATGTTGCTCTGTGCAGCTAGAGGCCTCGAGATGGAAAGATCCCTCGTCCAGAGCCTCCTGCGGAATTTCCATGAGATTCATAGCTCCTTCCGAACTACAACAGCGCATTTGTGTGTTTCCTATCACTCTCAGAACAACCACGCATTAATCCCCTAAACATCAATAACCGAATAACCTTTATAACGGCGATTCTGTTTGTTTTCTGCGAGGAATAGACTGCATTCATAAATGCTAGCCTGACAGATGAACTTCGAACCTAAAAGGGTCAAATCGGGCCTAAAGGAAATTGGAGTGAAGAGGCTCAGGACTTTGCTGATAATGTTCAATTGCCCAGCTATATAGCTTTCAACGTGTTGGCAGGCACTAACTATAAAACACAATCTTTCGTGAGAAGCTGGTAGTCACTCAGGCGGTCAAAAATTCTCTTGTCTATAGTGCAACCCGAAGGTTCATTACTAGGGCCCGGATTTCTATGACATGTCATATTTTTTTCCTAGGGTTTATTCCTATTTTTAAATGTAACTATGCATGTTTCCAGTCATTCTTATTGAAATTATGTCGTTTTTATTGTGCATATAAATGCATATTTTAGAGTTTTATTGGTTTTACAGCATATTTTGGCATAATTTTGAAATAAGGTCATATTTTTGTCATTTTAGAAACAATTCTTTGATATAATGTAAAATTTCGGTTCCATAATGCTTAGTATTACAAAATAAATTCCAGGCTGGACTCTTGCTTCAATGTGGAATAGAGTTCAAGTACATGAAGTTCGTATTAAAACCCATATTTTTGACTGGACTGTACTTGCAGTTACAAAGGCAAAAATTTGTGAAATGTAGCATTTATGACCTGGCAAGCCGGCTTTTCCCAGTCGAGGCAGGAGGGAGGAAAGTGTAACGGGTATTTTCCTATTGTACTCCGTCTTACTATAAGGTATATACATCCCATTCTTTCTTGGAGGGCTTAGAAGTATTCTATTTATATATGTGGAGGGCGTTATAAGACTTCAGTTTGACCTTACAATGCCTAAAGTGAGTACATGTAGTTCAAGGAGCGCAAGGTTGCGTAGTTTTGTACAGGAGTTTGATGATAAAGTGTTTAGTACCCATGGTAAGATATTTTATTGTAAGTTGTGTGGCGTGAAAGTTACGGCAGAAAAGCGATTTACTGTGCAGCAGCATTGTAAAACTTTTAAACATGGTAAATGTTTAAGCAGATTATCTACAAAGGAGAGCAGACAAAGTTTGTTGTTTAAAAACAGTTCCACTAATTCTTCTTCTTCTTCTTCTTCTTCTTCTGCTTCACCTTCTTCAATGAACAATGGGTCGGAATTTTCGAAGGATTTGTTTCAGTGGATGGTATCTTCGAAT